TCAAGCAATGGGAACCAGTCTCCTCCTCCAGGATCAGCATCATGACAGCAAGATTCAACTCAAAAGGAAGCAAAGTCACAATCATACAATACTACGCTACGACATGCAACTACAAATAATGCAGATCAAGGGTAGGAGGAGGAAGAGGAGGAATTCTACAGACGACTGCAATCAGTACTGGGCAAGGCCCCAGCCCAGTTGGCGATATCAAAGTTCTAATGGGCGACATGAATGCGAAACTGGGAGCAGACAACACAGGAAGAGAAGTCATCATGGGTTGAGAAGCACTCGGTGAAATGAACGAGAATGCAGAACTGTTTGCAAACTTCTGCGCATTCGACGATTTGGTGGTTGGTGGCAGTGTGTACAAGCACAAAGATATTCACAAGTCAGTGACATGGATTTGACTTCGCCAGATGCACACACTAAAAATCAGATCGACTTCATCTCATTCTCAAGAAAGTGGAGATGCAGCCTAGTGGACGCAAGATCAAGAAGGGGAGCAGATGCAGGTGGTTCACACTACTCAATATCTGGTGCAAGGAACGTACCTTCAAAATCAAGTTGCAAGCCATCACAGAAGTTGGTGACAGACCACAGTTGAAGCTGAACACCCAGGAGAGAAAATGAACTGAAGGACGAAACTGCAAACGACATCTTCATACCAATCAGCCATCAGGATGAAATGGGAGGAACTGAGCAACATCCCTGAGGGAGTCTGCATGGAAGAACACTGGAACTCTGTGAAAGAGATGTGGAAGGAAACTTACATAACCGTGTTAGGAAGGAAGAAGAAACAAGACAGGACAAGGAATGGATCTCGACGGATACATGGAAGCTGATAGAGGCCTCACAAACGCACATCAAGGGCACATGTGCCTCACAAACGCCTGGTCACTAAGCTGCAATCATATGGTTCCCATGACCCGTCACTGTCCTGGCTTAGAACATCTTTAGAGGGTTACTTCCAAGTGGCGAAATTCAGTGGTTGCTACTCCCCCCCTAGACCTATACAAAGCGGTGTCGTCCAGGGTGGTGGGCTAGGACCGATACTTTTCCTAATCTATGTAAACGATATCTGCAATGTTATCCAAAATGGCATACCCTACCTTTTCGCAGACGACTTGAAGATAGTCTACAGCTTTTCTCCTGCTGCAATAACACAGTGTTTCTCTCAAATACAAGATCTGAAGAGAATATTCACGTGGAGCGTGACCTGGCAGCTCCCTCTAAACCCAAATGAAAGTGGCATCCTCCATTTCAATAAATCCCACCCAGAAGTAACACTGCACTTGGGTGACATCTCACTGCAGATATACTACACTGTGAAAGACCTCAGAATCACTTACTCCAGAAGTTTGACTTTAACGGAGTATGCAGACTCAGTAGTTTCCAAGGGCAGAAGACTCATCAGTCTTCTACACAGAAACATACTCATATCTGAGGCAAAACTTGTACTGTACAAGGCTATGGTTCGCCCAATATTAGGGTACTGCACCGTTATCTATGGTAGCATGAATGTATCGGACAGAATTTGAGTAGAGAACATTCAACAGAACTTTACTCAGCGCCTACTAGTACACAACGAAGGACTTCATTATGAAGCAAGATGCAAAAAAACTAGAACTAGAATCACTCTGGCTGAGACGCCTGAAGCTCAACCTAACACTTCTTTTCCGTCTTTTATTTACAAACCCTAGAACGAAATGTGCTGTCACTTTTAAAACAACACAGGCATATAATCTGCGTAATAGCGAGAACATCATCCCAATAAATAAGTATCGCTCGAAACTTCGATGTGGGTTTCTCAAAACGCAATACAGTATGCTGTAGAACAAACTTCCCGCTCTTATACGGGCATGTCGTTCTCTTGGCCAGTTTCGACGACTACTTAGTGAGTTCCTCCTTTCTAACGAATCTCATCAATTCGTTGACGGCCAAACCACAAACGGTAATGCCATGTAAAATGGTGCTACTGGTACCTAGACTCAAGGGAGACTAGCAGCAATGACGAGAGTATGCAATGCCGAAAACTAAATGATTAGTTGAGTTAAAACCTAATTTCTAGAAGAGAAAACTGATCAAGAGTGAACAGAAAGCGGAGTGCGATACGATTTACAACAGTGAACTCTGTGGCTACTCTAATGTAACCTACATTTCTCCATAGCCTAACTGATCTCACGACTGAACATCTATTTCCGAAAATTCGTCCCTTAAAATAATCTCTCTACTCCGGATTGAGAAAAGAACTGTCTGTCGGTGCATTTTCATAGCATGTAACATGTTTTATTGTTTGCCCTTTGTTATCAGTACTTACATGTAAGTACTCTACACCACCGTATTGTTACGGTAGCCCCAATATGGCAATACTCAACAGGCAACACCATGATCATACCCCCCTTGACCAGATAAAGGGTAGTTACCGTCGTAGAAAAAACTATGAATTTCACTTAAATGTTTATATCTTCATGAAACGCTTGCACATAGGAATATAACAAGTGAATACCTGGTCCAAAATCCTCTAATCTCTCTATTTCGTAGTGATATCTTCGGCTTCAGACTGATTTTCACTACTATCGTGTGCATCTTCATTGATTTCCACTAAGCTTACCTCTAAACAGTTGGTTCTGGATACTTCTTGAAGCAAGTTTTACAGTCACTACCAAGAACTCACCCAGATGCATCGAGGTTGATCTACTCCTGCGTATTTTTGTGCTCCTGTTTCGAAGTTCGCCTGCTGCTTGCTTTTTTTATTCACTTTTCAGGCTTACTTAATCAGTCCTGCATTCAAATGGAATCCTACAAATCGCATTCGTCAATGGGAAATATTGCCATCAAAACCTTATGACGAACGCGCACACCTGGAGGTCATGACTGTGATGTGACCTCACCTTCAAGGATATTGGTAGATTCAAAAGATAACCGAATAATCCTTAAATTCGAACTGAGCCTGCTTCAACACACCTCTTATATGCCATAAATAACGGTATCTAGTGTATAGCTTAACATTGTACGTAGTAGTCATTTCCCATTACCAAAACGATCAAACCTGTAAACTGATTTATATTCATGTAACCTTCGTTGTGTGAAATATATATATCATTATTATTATTATTATTATTATTTAATTATTAAGAGGAAGATGGTGAAGCAGAAGATAAAGTAGTGCAAGACCGAACAAAAGAATTCCCCCAGAAGCACTGAAACCAGACGCAGAGACACCAGCGGGCAGGCTTACACCATTATTGCACAAGGTTTGTAGAGAGGGAAGGAAAGGTACCTGCAGATTGGAAGAAGGGCTACCTCGTCAAACTCCCAAAGTAGGGCGACTTAAGTCTTTGCAAGAACTGGCGCGGAATCATGCTCCTGTGCAACCCAAAGAAAATATCCACAACGGAAAGCAAAGTGATGCCTTTGAAGTGAGGACAGAGCTAAGACAAGACCGCCGCCTACTATCACCGATGATCTTCCTGATTGTGGTCGACTGGATCATGCAGCAAACCGTGAGGAGCTGTGAGGAGATGGGCATACGCTGTTTGACAGATGAAAAGACCCTAGAAGATTTGGATTTCGCCGATTATGAATTGTATCTAATATCGCAGGAACTCGAGGATCTACAGGCCAAAACCAACAATGTGGCAGAAGAGACGAAGCAGCGAAGACGGGACTTTCTCCAAGTGAACGTGGAGAACACAGAGGTGGTGAAGATACCCAACCAAACAACAACAACAACAACGAGCTCCAATCACCATGAACGGGAGAAACCTAAAGGAAGTTATCTCCCTCACCTACCCGCCTAGGCAGCATCCTTTCAACTGCAGGCGGCACAGGCACAGATGAGGATGTCAAGGCTAGCATCGGAAAAGCAAGACATGTCTTCCCTCATTAATCTGAAATTAGTGTGGAGATCTACTGCAATGCACTGTACTCAGCACAAAGCGTGAACAAGATCTAGATTTTCAACACTAATTTAGTGAAGTTAGTGCTTCTGTGTGATGGCTAAGAAACTTGGCGCGTTACAAAAAGCATTTCCAACAAACTGTAGACATTCATCAACAACAGCTGTTGCCTCCACTCGCTCGATACTGGAGATCAGATGAGATGACCAGAATAATAGGAATAGGCAACAGGGAACTCTGGCTAGCCGGCTTGCCGGCTGGCTGACAAGGAACCAACCAGGAACCCATCGCCCAAGAAATATGCAGAAGGAAGTGGAGATGGATTAGGCATACATTGAGATGACCGATTGGGGACATCACGCGCCAGGCCAGATCAGTCCGTCGAGTGGAATCCAAAGGGGAAGTGATGAGTTGGGCATTCGAGCGTGACATGGCAGAGATGGTGTGGGCAAGAAATGAAAGCTTTTGGGCGTCTGTGGAGCCAGGTTGAAAAGACTGCAGAGAACAGAGTGCAATGAAGTTGTGCTAGTGAAGCCCTATGTTCCACTAGGAACCCAAGTGATAAATAATAAGCCATAAAAAAGGCCGTAGAATCCCCTTCCTTCAGAAGCTGACACAATTCTATCTCGTATTACTTTCAAAAGGAGGTTGGATACACATTTAGAGTCCTGTAGTACCAACAGGCTGTACTCTAGAAGCTTTTCGTCATCTCCAAATCAGGAGTATCATTACCTTGGGGTCAGGTCAATTAGCAATCGGCAATTTCTATTCCTTCAGGTTTTTCGAAACCAGAAAGACAATTGTGACCATTATAAACCACTAACGAACTCCAATAAGACAGCTGTAGAACTCAAGGAACCACCGTGCACTTATTCTACAACACAAAGTTTGAGTATTACTCTTTATTTAAATCTTTTTAAGACTGAAAATTTTGCTTTACCAACGATTTTCAGTGGGTGGCATAATTAATTTCTGACATTAGTCTCAATTGTTTTTGGACATTTGTTTTAATTCTTTTTCAAAGTATTTCCTAAATGTGGAGTGGGTGCACTGCGATTTAGCTCTGAATTGGAATTGGTCCGCCATAACGGGGAGATCAAGATGGTATATTTCGATTCGTTGTTTTCAATTTTTTCCTCCTAAAGGACGTACCTACTTCGACACTTATGCTTCGTGGACTGACGTCGTCAACTACCGAGCGCGATGTAAGTAGTGCTATTTATACATAATCTCTACTTCAAAGGTTCGGCGTACGCTCGATAATGAGAGAGCGAAGTATACTGACGTACGTCTTGTCCGTGACAAAAAGAGTGGTAGATGGATCGGATTCGTTGATTTTGTATCAGTAAACGATGCTAAGATGTTTATGCGAGACTGTCAGGTATGTCGAATGCAGTGTTACTTCATTAGCTGGCTTAGGGAGAAATTGAAGTTCGCAAAACAATAATAAGACTCACTTATAGCAATTCCAAAGACAGACGTGATGAAGAGGTAACTTTGTTGCTTATGCTTATTCTCCCAGTACGATGACGCTTCTCCAACTATAATGTTACGTGGAATTCCCTCTTCACTCGATCACCGTGATGTATGTGTCCATTTATCCTAAACTTGTTTTAGATTCGAGATGCTCTGGACGATGCTCGTGTCAGCTACTTGGACGTACGTGTTATAAAAGATAAGGCAACAGGTACGTCTCTTAAGTCGTCGAGGTAATTTTCTGGTGTGTGTAATTTCAAGTATTTCTTCCTATTTATTCTCAAAATCTGACTTAACGTGTACGTGTCTGTTTGTGCGTTCCACATGTGTTTCAGTCTGCTTGTCAAGTTTTGAGGTCACCGTTTTATGAGTTAATATTTGATTAACACAAGTGAAAAAGTAGTTGACCAAAACAGATTTTTATCTTGTCACCGGGTAATGCAAAAAAATGTCAAATGACTAGCCGCTCAAAAATGGGACCTACGTTGATTTGTTTGGAACTCATCCTCAATGGCTTAAATTTTCTTGTTCTCGAAAGCCAACCCCCCCCCATATACTTATGACATTCGTACTGTAAGTTGTTTAGGGACCCTTGTATTTTGAAGTTGCGCTGTCATTCAATTAAGTCAGTTCTATCTCTTTCTGAAAATCTTCACTGCAATGTGCAGGCTTTCTAAAGGTTGCCACAGCGGTTTCTGTGATGTACGAACTAAAACTCACCATGCCCTTCGAAAGACATATAAGTATGGCATGCATCATGAGACTTCATTGAATCGAGCATTCTTGTAGCCTGGCAAAGCAAATGCGTGGTGAATCCTGCTATTCCTAATCTTCAGCTCATTTTGAATATAACCAAGAGAAGATTTTGACAAGTTTCGAAATATGAGCTATTTGCATGAAACTGGTTATCAGCCAGCCGTCCGACAAACTAAATCAGATCTAAAATACTGGGTTCATAACATGACATTTAACAGTGGATCCTCTACGAGTAATCTGGACTTGCTGCTGCAATTTCGTTGTCCAGTTTATTGGACGGGAACCCATAACAAGCATTCCTAATAGTGAATTTTGTCGATAAAGAATTATTTTTTCTGCAGTTGCCTTATCCCTATCTTATTCAAATCTGTTCGCAGGTATATCGAAGGGCTTCGGTTTTGTGGATTTCGCTTCTGTCCATGAAGCAAGGCGTTGGATGGATTATCAAAAAGTAATGAATCCTTCACAATACAGGTTATATCTTTATCAAGTTTCCTAAACATGCTTATCTTCACCTCGTATTGCCGTATAGTTTGGAGCCATAGGTTTAATATTACGAAGCATTCCTAATTTAACCTTTTTCTCTACATTTAGGGCATATTTCGCGTCCGGCGTTACGAAATACGACTAATGTACAGCACTCCACGTAACCAGCTTGATTCATTGATCCATCATTCAGGGGATGCACCTGGTTTGCTTGGTCCTTCAAGCTTTATGGTCCGTTCACCTGCTTTATCAGAAGTTTCTACCGGAGACTGGATATGTTCAAGGGTGGGTGTTGTCGGATATTGGTTCATATAATTGATTTGAAATTGGAAAATTTATTGTTATGATTGCTAATTAGTTAAAGGTGCATCTGATTCCTTCATTGGTTAATCCTAATCTAGTGTTCTAGTCACAACTTCAGAAGACGGGATCAGTGCTACAAGTGTCAGTTACCGAGGTCTCAAGTACAATCTCTAACGAATTCAGTTGATGGTGTTGATCTAATTGGTACAACTCCATGCAATAGTAAGTTTAATTAGTGCTTCGTGTATATAATCTTATTACTGTCGTCTTTATTGTTTTGATCTGAAAATACTTTCGCAAACTCGTCCCCACTAATTTCCTCATTTGATGACAGACATCGCTCCTTAGCCTTATACACATCTACTTTGATGTAATGGATCCCAGATGTCAACCCCATCCCACTTAATTCGTTTTAGGCAACCGGATAGTATCAGAAACCTCATTTTGTAGCTCACATCCAAATGCAGGTACCTTTAACAGGTCCGACTGTTATAAGCGTTGTTATTATAAACTTCGTACTTAATTCTCGGTTTGGAGAATCCAGCTAGAAATTGTGACAGTTTTGCGACATGCAATTCGTGTCGTACTAAGCGCAATGTGAGATTATTACGAGCTCCACACTGCTGTCATGTAGCAAAGGCTTGAACTGTGAAGCTACTGATCTTTGTCTTGTCCTAAATGATATGACTCGTTTGTTTCAGATACTTGTCGTACGGCCATCTTTTCACCTCCGTTGGCCAATATTTCGTCAGTCACAGGATCATTACCTCTTGGTAATGAATACACACCATGTGATATATATATATATATATATATATATATATATATATATATATATATATATATATATATATATATATATATATATATATATACGGGTAACTGTTAGTACACAGATTTTCGTGTGGATAAACGGCACCATTGCGTTTTTACAAAACCAATCATACTTCGTGTTATAGGAGAATCGGGTTTAAATCACGTTAACGTCCAGTTTACGGATACCGTGAAGAATCTGCACACCTGCGTTGATAGATTTAACAAGAAATCCACATGTGAGGCGTATTGAACCTCAGTTTGGGCTCTGCAACTGCATACTGATGCGTCACGTGGGAACCATCGTGACTGGCTTTTTCCGCAAGTAGCCCTAAACTCAATAATAAAACTGTTAGCAAAGAAAATGTACCAAAGTGGTTGTTTCATTAGCTGTAATAATCGAAGCGATTCAGTGTCATCTTTTGGCCTTGCATTGACTTCACGACACTTCCACACGAGTTAAGAAAGGACGATAGATATGTGTTTCATCCGCACAGGAATTACAAGGAAATCTGCATGTTTGCAAGGCGGAGTTGAAAGTATGAACTATTGGTAATGAAGGAACACTGCATAATTGTGTGTACTTAATGCCAATCCTGTATGGTTCACCAATTTTCAAAATTTCTCAAATTGATGTCACATTTCGTACTTGTTATACTAGGTCTATTATACCCAACCGAACTGCTATTTATTTCCATTTAACCTGTCGTTTCACAACCCAGTAGCGTTGGAAACCTTGAATACTATATATGCACAGGGTCGTTTCAGGAATATTTTTATGTATACTCTTGTGTTTCCAGCTCTTGTCCTGCGTTGTTTGGATGCACTAACTACTGAAGAGGACATTTGTCAGGTTTTTCAGGATATAGCTGATGTGAAAGTTCGCCAGTGTCATGTAATGAGAGACGAAGTGACACATGCTTCTAGATGTTTTGCGTTTGCAGAACTTCCCACGGTAGCCGATGCGTACAAAGTCATGGATATTGTGAACAAGGAGTTCAAGCTTTTCGAGGTTGGAGGAAAAGCAGTTACTGTCTCCTATGCAAAAAATACCTTCAAGTTAGTTCAACAATATTTCGTGGCATTTGATAATTATGGTTTCATTAAATTAACTGTCTTTTCTTTGTATGCATATCTCAAGTCAGAGAATTACCTCACCAGACCTGTTGCAGTAACTAGACATTTTTTAAATTTCACAGCTCTTGCCTTCAAAAATCTGAAAGATTGACATTCATCGTATTTACAACTTCTGTAGTGTTTCATTTCGACTATATTCGAATTCATACGTTGAGTTTATATATGTACGCGAACGCTAACTACTACCTTGATGTGGCCGTCGGGCTTGTATATCACAATGACACGACGAGCTGTGCTAGTGGGACGTTTACTCCCTCAAGTTCCTACGATGCCAGGAAGGTCTGTTAGATGGTGAGACAAGCAGTTACCATTGTAGTGTGTAACTACACTATGATAAGGGTCTGAGGGCTGCCAGCTGGATGGAGTGTGGTAGCTGTAAAGTGTTTTCCTTTAGATGGTCAGCAGTGTCACGTTGATGCTGTCTCAAACATATCTTACGGGCTCTGTTTCAGCTACCCTAAGAAGTAGTAGCCTCCTACGGTGTAGGCATCCGGGAAGCACTAACCACTCGCACGCTTCCAGTAGTACACAAAGCCCAAACAAACATAACTTATCCTCTTTGACTCTTTCCCCTTCTTTTGCCTTCTCCTCCTGATGACAATACTTAGCCTATTTCACATTGTCTCATTCTGCAACCATCGCCCACAGTCAAAGCCATCGAAACCTTATTTCTATTCTCCCAAGGCCCCGCAATCTATTTCATGCGGGAGTTTTCGACGTCCAAACTCTATGCTAAATCGGACAGCTAGCACTGCTCGCCAGAACTGGAATTTCTAGCCACGAATGTGTACTGTTTCTGAGACACGTATACAGAGGCTGATTGGCTAGTAAACTGGTCTCACCTGTCCATAATAGTGAATCTTTAAAGTTCACTTGACGAGTATCCGGAGACCCAACGGCCAGCTCTTGAAAAACTCGCTAGTGTAGGCATAGCATTGAGTCGTAGAAAAGAGATTGCGCTTATCGACTGGATCCTAGTAAACAACCGTCTGTGTGATGTTCTACTGAATGGATCTGTAAAAGAATGATCGTGACACTAGGCAATGCCAATTCGTAATGCCTGTCTACGCACCCATCGACTTCAGTTCCGTTTGATGCAAAGGAAGTATACATATGTATATGCATGGATAGATAGATAGATAGATAGATAGATAGATAGATAGATAGATAGATAGATAGATAGATAGATAGATAGATAGATAGATAGATAGATAGATAGATAGATAGATAGATAGATAGATAGATAGATAGATAGATAGATAGATAGATAGATAGATAGATAGATAGATAGATAGATAGATAGATAGATAGATAGATAGATAGATAGATAGATAGATAGATAGATAGATAGATAGATAGATAGATAGATAGATAGATAGATAGATAGATAGATAGATAGATAGATAGATAGATAGATAGATAGATAGATAGATAGATAGATAGATAGATAGATAGATAGATAGATAGATAGATAGATAGATAGATAGATAGATAGATAGATAGATAGATAGATAGATAGATAGATAGATAGATAGATAGATAGATAGATAGATAGATAGATAGATAGATAGATAGATAGATAGATAGATAGATAGATAGATAGATAGATAGATAGATAGATAGATAGATAGATAGATAGATAGATAGATAGATAGATAGATAGATAGATAGATAGATAGATAGATAGATAGATAGATAGATAGATAGATAGATAGATAGATAGATAGATAGATAGATAGATAGATAGATAGATAGATAGATAGATAGATAGATAGATAGATAGATAGATAGATAGATAGATAGATAGATAGATAGATAGATAGATAGATAGATAGATAGATAGATAGATAGATAGATAGATAGATAGATAGATAGATAGATAGATAGATAGATAGATAGATAGATAGATAGATAGATAGATAGATAGATAGATAGATAGATAGATAGATAGATAGATAGATAGATAGATAGATAGATAGATAGATAGATAGATAGATAGATAGATAGATAGATAGATAGATAGATAGATAGATAGATAGATAGATAGATAGATAGATAGATAGATAGATAGATAGATAGATAGATAGATAGATAGATAGATAGATAGATAGATAGATAGATAGATAGATAGATAGATAGATAGATAGATAGATAGATAGATAGATAGATAGATAGATAGATAGATAGATAGATAGATAGATAGATAGATAGATAGATGAAGGAGCTGTAGCGCATTAACCTAATTACTTGAATTCCGAACAATAAGTTCCGGGTTCAATCGCGCTTGTACTACGTATGGAATAACTTGTAACCATATGCTAAGCGTAAGCCATAAAAGTATTTATTGTATCAAATTAGTAAGTTGTTTTTTTCTTATCTGTGATATGTTTTTCCGTATCTAAACCAGTTGAAGATACTATTCGATCTGTGCAACTTCTAGTGTCAAGCCGGTCATTTCAGTCTCCAATTTTAACAAACAGCTGTGTAACTCATTCATCCATTCGTAAGTAGCACGGGTGCTTTTCAGTCATTAAAGGGTGGTTGATGGCTTCACACACTATAAAGTACTCACTGAGAGCCCCTTTTAGCTGCATTTGACCATAAAGCTGTTATTTTATTTCATTATCGCAACAACATTGAGGTTGTCACTGTCTGATAACCTATGTGCACATCGAAAATAGCAGGTTGATTGGACTATTTTTCCAAAAATATATGTTATATGAGTAATAGCAAAGTTAAAATGTTGAAAGTGATGGGCATTGGCATTTCTACTGATGTTCATATGCATATTAAATGACCAGGTATGGTGCCCGCTGAGAAGACAAACGCTGTCGTAAACTAACTCGATCAAGTAGTGCTGGTGGTTGTTATACCTCAATACGTCATAAGGTTTATTTGCATGAGCTGTGACTCATCGGCTTAGACACGCGGCTTCCAACCAGTAGACCACTGGTTCAAACTTCGCCCCACGTGTCGAAGTTCGAGCGGCCGCACACAAAACGTACGGGTTCGAACCCACAACCAATCATTTGAAATTCAAGTTGCTAGACCAGTGATCCACAGCACAAAACTCCCTGTGGTTTTTGAGCGTATTTCGATCTCTACAAGTAGTTCTATGGGTAAGGGCTGGACAGGGTTATCGGATATTCCCATTAGCTTACGTCGCAACGTTGAAAAACTTCAATGTCTGTAGTTGAGCTTCAACTAACATTCTGTAATGGTTACTGCATACATGTTTCATCACATGAGTAGTTCACATCTCGACTTTCACCTGTAACATTTACAGGTCTTTATTGTTTTTTACCACTTGTATGCCTCAGCATATTGCGAGCAAATGTTAAAAAATCGTGCATATGGAACGACTCAGAGATAGGTGTTAATGTTTTCCTACATTATAAATTTTACCGCTCCATTGTCAACAAAGATTGGGGTTGACTGCTAAAAGACCAAACAGGTTATCCATTAAGTGTCCCATATTTATATTATTTTTGGTTAAATGAAGTAAGATCTGAGCTCACATATTTGAGTCACGGGTTCAAACCCAATAGGGGCACTTTGGTATAAGAAACCAGTCTTAACTGTGCAATATTACCCTACGTCCTCTTAGAGATCTAACATTGATCCGAAAATCTAGTTGAGAACTGGCGAGTCTCTGGTTCTTGACCTGATTTTGTGGTTGGCTCGCCTATGTAGTCACAAACTTACACAAGCGTGAATAGACATGACGTGACTGTAAAGTTGCATCTTACTATACAAGTTGATTATAACACCAGTTATTATTTGTGTTAAGTACTAAGCGTATTTATTTTTCATTTTCCATCTGGTGTTCTTCGTGATTTTCGCTTTTTTTTTATTGAAGCACTATTATGGCAACGCTTAAAACCGAGGGGTCTTATAATGCACAGTTGAATAGTAGTCGTAACTTGGCTTTAGACTTGGCCCATGCTGCTATGGCAGCGCAAAATAATAATATATCACCTGATACTGTGGCAATGAATGCAGTTGCCGCATCAGCATTACTTAGCCAGACTTCAAATAATGGGGCTGCTGTCGCTCAGGCAGCTATACAACAAAAGCAGACAGAACAACATGTTTTATCGGCTCTCACAAAATCTCTGCGTAATCATGCAGAGCACACAGTCTCATCTAGCTATGTACCTTCTATGGCGGCTCTTGCTGCATCTGGTCAACAGCTTCCACCTCCATCGTTCCCTTTTAATGCTGCAACAGCAACATCTACAACATATCGTAAGTCTAATTTGTTTGTCATTACCTATTGTAACATTTGTTTCATTTCTGTATATTTTCATTGAGCGGTCGTACTAGCTAAGCTACTGATACCAGATCACTTAGATACCGACGGTGGGGGGTTGTGTACAGTCCCAATGTACGATTCCCCCAATCGTTATATTGATAACGTTAAACATCAGCGCAAGAAATTATTACTTTCCATTATGTAGACTTTTGTTTGTAAGTAGGCACATTCATACGTTAGTTGTCATTTCACCAATGGTTTTTTATTACGAATTGAATTTCATGGTTCGTGTGTATTTCAGTTATTTCCACCTGTACAACATGAATAGACTCGGAATGAGTCATTTAGTACTCAGTTAGGGGGTGAGTTGACTACAATACGTGTGTCTTTTTCCTCCGTACGTTTAGGCATCGTTTTTCTCCAAGTTATTTTATTTCAAGTTGAAATATGTAGAGACTACTTTCTGTGACCCGAAATAAGTGGCAATGGTACAGGTAGATTTATGCATGTCCCATCTCCTGTCATTGTCTCATGACTTTTTTCACCACCTCTTATAGCCAAGTATGCTTATCTTTGTTGAACATTATCTCAATGTTTGACTTTGAAGGGAGTATGGAGCAAGTATATAATACTTATCATAGCTCTGTACTCAAACTCTCACAATTGTGTAAAGGCTTATAGAGAGTTGTCTTCGGAATTAACGACAACCAATGATGTCCCCCAGGAGTACCCACTGTCAACGTTCCTATTTAACTTTGTTATAGACACATACTTAGGGCAATAATCTTATATACCTCTGACCTACTCACTGTAGGTTATCTGGTTGGTTTGGTGTATGCAGAAGCTATTGCCCTGCTAGATGAAGATGCTGACAAAATGCAAGGTCTTCTGAATGCGTTGAGCAGAAATCCGAGTGTGTTTGGCTGGTATGCATCTTGCACCTGTCATATGTAAGATGATACTTCAGGATTGGCCTTTAGTGACTCCCAGCTTAATGATGGAGAGTGAAGTGGTGGAACGTGTCGACCACTTCACTTACTTTAGGAGTTGTGTCAGTCTGAACGGGCTGGTTGCTGACGAAATCCCATCCCGGACACCGAAGGCCCGTTTGGCACTTGTCAACTTGCATCATCTGTGGCTCTGACTGGCGAGATATCTGACTATCAGGAGACGAGTTGACTGCATTGCAATCTATTCTGTCCCATTATGTGGCTGTGAGACACTGCCGTTAAAATTAGACGACATGAAGCGGTTACAGGACTTTGATCACTGGTGCCTTTGTAGCGTTTCTCGCGTGCGGTGAAATCACCGTGTTAGCGATGCTGAAGGATACCGGGCAAGGCAGGTGACTCGGTTGGTGAGGTTATTAACCTTCATCGTCTGAGATGGCTTGGACGTATGTCGCGCATGCCGAGTCACCGCTTATCTTCATGTATGGCTCATTGGTTTAGGGAGTTGACTATCAACCATTGGGTCGTGGATTCAAAACCCGCTACACCTTCAGCAGCCAGGCAGCATCACTGGCCCTCACACAATGGGTTCTACTTATTCCCTACCGCACAGATGATCACAAGGTGACTGAGTGCGTTTTTTTACATTGATGTTCGATGCTGGAGGAAACAGGATTGGGTTGAAAGAAGACTCGAGTTGGCCAGACCAAGACTTGGCTTCAGTTCATGAAGTCCCTGACTGTCGATCCGAGCCGTGTTGAGAGATGTAAAGTACCTCTGGGGCAAAAGGGATCAGTAGGTAAGAACATTTGGTGATATGGCTAAGAATCGGCTGCAGTGGCACAGATATATTCATTTTCAGATATCTTCCAAAGGAATATTTGCACCGACCTATATCTTCAAATTGCTTATTCTCTCACAAATTTGATATTACTTTTTCTATCCACCTGTTCTTTGTCTACCAGTGTGAAGCGTGATGACTTGAACCGATACACTTGTATGTGAAGTTCTGCTTTAATTCTCTCTGTTAAATTCTAATTTGATGTACTGGTGTGGTAACTTTTACAGTTACATAGTAGTGCCAGTTAGTGTGTTTGTCGGTCAGTGAAATTGCTATGCTTCTAATTTTGTCATTTCCATAATATGAGTATTATTGAATACTAGAAATAAATCGTGTGTTCACTGTATCTTTTTCTGAATATTTCAAGCCTCTTGGCTCATAACTGACGTTTAGTTTGCAGTTTTCAGTTGTAAAATGTGTACCTTTGATAACATGATATCAGATTCATGGTAGCCTTTACTTGTGAAGTTTTTATAGTAGCTAAGATTAAACTACTTAGTTGGGTTTTTTGTATAATTCATCAGCTACAGTACAATCAAGTGAGTAGTAGGTATCACTAGGCCCCACTTAATGGGTGTTTAGCGTTCCAATAAATACACATGTACATTTACGAAACTGAACCTAATTCTTACAACAATCGCGTTGAAGTTTCCCTTCACATAGTAGTTATTCCTCATTGCCTACTGCGCAAAAGTACACACGGCTGCTTAGTGCATTTCATTTATATACATGTGTAAATGGGAGGTTTTATCAGTACGCTCGTGTAATAAACCTGTCGTAGGAATAGTAAGTCACTTACTTGTAATTCAAAAAAGGTTACTGCTGTAAAAATAAATGTTGGACAAAACAGCTTGGGTTTTTAGATAGTGATGTGTAGAAAAGTGAAACGTTTAGCTCATTACTTCAGATAGTCATCTTTCAACGAATGGGTAACAGATTCGAACCCTTTGTTAGTATCGTGAACTGTGTCAAAGTATATGTGGTTGTTGGCATAATGCGCGTGGTTGCCGGTTTGTGTAATGGGATGAGTCATTCAGAGGAAAACAGGAATATTTATGTTTGGAATTAATGTTACAAAAATTGTCTGAAGTCACCACCACAGAAATACTAACTAGCTTATTTTTTCGTTCATGTTCTAGCATTTCCGGACACGTCCAAGTATATATATGATGAGTCCACTCGATTTTATTATGACCCTGTAACCGGATTAATGTATGAACCAAACTCTAAGTATTTTTACGACCGTGCAAGTCAGCAATATTATTACTGGGATCAGACGAAAAGTACATATCTTCCAGTGCCACAGTCAAATTCACAATCCAATACAGTTGATACTGCGGCTTCTGATTCACAAACTGATGTCCTGGACACTTCCAAAAACAAAGTAATTGCCGTTTCACTTTCATTCTTTAATATACCATATTTACTTGGTTGTGGTTCCTTCAGTAAATCAAAAAACAAGAGTAGAGTGTGTGATATGTTGCATTAGTGTGTCAGCTTAAGGTTTTACATCACACTGCAGTGAACTCGAAAAAAGATGAGAGCATATAAGCAACGTGAATGTATAGAATGAAAAACTATTCATTGTTTGCAACAGGATGTATTGGGTAAGATCGTTAGTTTTCTTAAACTTGAACTTACCGTTTTTAAGTGGTGTAGTGACTAATCTGTTGGATTTAAGGTTAAGGAGTTCAGTGACGAGTGAGTCATAGGTTCGAGTTCCATCCTGCCTTCTGAGGTCTGACCAATTAGATAGTATCACTAGATACTACACAATAGATGTGGTTCATCACCTACTTCACGAGCAAGCATATTGTTGCTAATTTCATTTTTTCGTGAGTTCAGGTATATCTCAAATTTGTCAGTGTAGACAGACAGCTAGTATGGCGTAGCATGCACACAAGGTATACACTGTATGACAGATTTGCCATGAAGCTTATCCTTCATGATGCTTTTTACCTTTATGTTAATTGGGAAACGCTGTCATTCAAATCTAAACCAAGCACTACTTGAAGGTTCTTGAAGGAAAAGTATCCCTGTTATTTGAAAGAACGCCGCACTTTGCACAAAATTGCTCAGTGTACTCGCCGCCAAGAACTCATGCCATAAATCTTTTAGGTTATAAAATGCTAACCAAGCTTTCTGTATGCACTGAGGTCCCATCAAAGACCAACCCGTCAGGGTTAGGGCGACCTCCCAATTGAGTTAAGAATAGATCGATAACCCCAACCACTTCACTCTGATTGACAAGTGTCACGGCTGACGAGTTCTGAAGTATTCTACATTTAGCTGGTGTAAAGAGTGTTCATCGAAGAGACAATATGTCTTGATTCAGAACAACTGCGGTGCCATTTGTTCGTCAACGTAAAACAATCTTCACTTGCACCTGTGATACGCAACGGTGGTATATCTTTCGAGATTTGATCAAAGTTTAATGAATTAATCTGGATAAAATGTAACTAATGATGTTCCTGGTCTCTTTCGTTGCAAATCAAGGATCTTATTGTTTGAATTCCTTATTTCTGCTGGAGAATGGTAGCAGTAGTAGTAGTAATTGTCAAGTTAGAGTTAACTTTAGAATTAATATTTTGATATTTGCATTTGTGTGGATAATAAAATCGTACTGATCTTGCTGCTGTTACTTCGATTGTGATATGTTCAGCATAAGATATAATCATGCTCATTTTCCAAGAGTTGAAATTGCAATCACAGTTTCCTCCTTTGTATTTTAGGATGATCGTGGTAAAACTGCCCAGCAAATAGCAAGAGAGATGGAAAAGTGGGCTAAAAAAATGAATGCTCAGAAAAAAACATCATCTAGTACCACGCAGCGCACTGATGTGACAGTAGTAAGTATCCAACCATATGCAAATCTTATCGGGTAACAGGTAAACTGCTAGTTTTCTTTTGCGCTTCAAAATGCCTACGTCCTTGTCGGAAACCCGGTAAAACTTGGTTTTCACTTCCACAAAGTCATCTTTACGCATGCATTTAGCTTTTCCAGTTGCAATATTTCTAGATCTTTTTTGTGTTGTCGATATGGAAAGCAATAATTTCCTTGTCATTTATTTTAGTCCGAGGCTAGTAAAACAGCAGATACGGGTTACGCCATTTTGGAGGCATCTACTAACAGTGCACTAGGCAGCGATTCTCGAACACCTGAATCTGCCAGCTTAGTCGCTGAATATGGTGGTGTTGAAGACAGCGATGACTCAGGCCAGGATGAGTCACATGGCGACCGACAAGATTCGCTCCTATCATTGAATTCTGAAGCTGAAGCAAAAGTGGCGGAAGAGGAAAGCAAGTACGTTCTTATTTTGCCGGTGATCTTTGCGATTAGCTTTTATGTCGGTTTTGGCAATTTTACATACAGGGTAGTTGTCACGCCATCTTTGCTTTTCTCTTTAACTTCATTGCGTTCTGTTTTCATTTCACAATGGTACTGGTCATGGTATATTATTATACAACTTATATAATCTGTATGGCATACGTAGTGTTTTAAAAGTACTGTAAGATCTAAAAACTTATTGCATTATTTACAGTACTGGTGGACTATTTGATTGCTCGTTGTAGTGGAAACATTTGTATAAATGACAAAAAAGCCTTATACAAAATACCGAAAAAGGATGACATTTTCATCTGCAAAGCACTTGATAATACTTTTGCTTGCGTAGCGTATTTAATGTTTGCATCGTCTTTTCTACTGATTGCTGGTATGTAGTTGACTACCACCACCGTACTACAAAAATGACTAACTTCTAGCGATTAAATTGGACAGGGTGTTTTGAAGCTGCATTTCTGGAAAATTGTGGTTGAAATTGCTGGAATCTTAATTCTTTCCAATTACGCCTTTTTTAAATCCTCAGACAGTCGAAAATGTCACGTGTGGTTTGACAAAAGTTTTATTGTTTAGGATATATACACATTATTTTTGTCCTCACAAGTGTGATGGTGAAATCCATTCTGTTCTGTACCTTCCTTTTTAGGTATTTGATGACTTCACTCATTGAGTCAGTCAATAGAAGCGACCGTTTTATTGTCGACTCCTTAACTTAGAGTCGTATAGCGTAAACTTAATTTGGGATAATATCACGGGGTTCACTCATTATTAATAAACGTCAAATAGACCGTTACGCTTTTTTGTCTGGCAATTTTAGTCCATTAACGTTTATATCCTACACAGAATCCTCATTTAAAACCATTAAATGTGCATTTGTCGTTCAGTGAAGTGGTTTGTACTTCGTAGTATATTTTCCCGGTGACTAAATAAACTAAAGACTTTCCACTTGAAAAAATATTTCTTCATACTTGGCAAAGTTATGTTCAAAGCTATACTCATTGGTTGCTGAGTGTATTCGGATTTTGATGTTTGAGATGCTTGACCATTTGCAATCATTTGCATTTTAGGCTTTGGATTGGGCTAAACTAGCATGCATGCTATGCTCTCGGGGTTTCAAAGATGCTGCAACACTTCAAAAACATAGAGCATTTTCGGCTCTACATTACGAGAACCTGAATAAACTCCGTGCAAAATATGGATTACCTTCTATTCCTGCTCCAACTCCAGCTCAAAATCCAGAAGCGTCATCTAATCCAAACCAACCTAAAAATTCACTTTCGATAGCATCACTAATGCAGATAGGTGCTCAAGCAGCCAGTAATCATGCGAAATCAGTAGCGTCCAGACAAGTTTCTGGTCGACCAAGTGCATCAGGACAATATCGAGACAGAGCTAAGGAGCGTCGTGAAAAGTATGGTATTCCATCACCTCCTAGGATGAAGTCTGTTGAAGATCAAGTATCAACTGCGCAATTAGATCAAGATTCATTCGTTCCTCCACTTCCACCTATGCCACCTCCACCTCAGTCTGGTAAGGATTTCATTTGCTTTTTGTTGTTTGTTGATGAAATCAGGACACATACAAAGAGGCTGAATCAACTTTACTTTTGTTTCACATACTGCTCAATGCGATATTTGTTTGTCTGTTAATAGCTGGGTGTACTACACATTTGTTTTACTATCGTGACGTGTGGTTGTGAGACTCAGTCGTAAAGGGTGATCGACCGGAGTTTTCAGGTGCTTAATCGTTGTAGCCTCCATAACACTGCTCTCGTGTAATTGAGTCACCATGTGGAAAATCTAGGAATTCGTTGTAGTTCTAGAAGAGAATTCAACTGATAAAATTACAAACCTTGGTTATTTAAGACGGTACTGACAAGTTATCAATATGCCACCGTCTACGCAGCGCACATTGCTTGCTTACGTAGGATTTAGTCACAAGACAGTCGTGGTCAGAGCAAGATATAACGCTTATTCGTGAAGTGTTTGACTTCTCTTGTGACCTGTGTCGGGGAATGAAGATTTTCCTGTTGGAGTCTGCGAGACAAGTAAAATAGGTTGTCTTAAAGGCTTTGCATGACATGACCGTGAATTGATCACTGTTATGTAGATGGATTCATGTATTATTCTAACCTTAGTTGTCATATTATTTTGATCTGCGGTGCATATATGAATGATATAATGCCCCGACGCAATCCAATTAACGATAGAACAATAGCTTCTCAACACGATATTCAACTGCCACCCAAAGAAGAAGGAAGTGGGATGGAAAGTATAGTTACCTCAACCGAATGCTGTGATTGTAGCTGAAAGTTCAGTCCTTTATACACTTTCTAAAGGTCCTTGGTCAGGGAAAGCAAAATAGTATATTAAAGATGTAAACTGAACCAGTCAACGTTTATTATCTTCAACCGCGGTGAAAATAAGTAACATATCGCGGAGTGAAAATAAGTTTCAAATGTTACACTGGAAATATATACGTAATTTAGTTCTTTAGGGATCAGACGTCCCTACCACATGTCTCCACTTTATCTTTTGGCTTTTGCAATCAATGATTATATTTCATTATTTTCTTCAACTGTATGACCTCTATTGATATGTCTAAGTGATGCGTAGCAAATTGAATTATTATGCCTGGTTTTACGTTGATAACTAATGTATGCATTCGACACTTCTTAAGAAAACCAAGTTTTCACTAACTAGTATCGTTAGAAGTTCATGCGTCACATTCAACTTATTTTACTGCTAGTCAATCACTGATTCGCCAGCAAGAAACAGATGATCTTACATAAGCACGTATGTGAAGTTGCTGGGTTTTAGATCATAATTCTTGTTGGAGCTTAAGTCCAAATATTGTCACTGTGCATCGGGTTTGCTTAATGATTTTCTAGCAACTACCTCATGCAATATCTGCATAAAAAGAAGCTTGCACTTATTATTCGTAATCGGAACACAATATAGTCGTTAGGTTGGTCATATAAATATGTTGCACCGGTATGTGAATTGGTTGTTAACTTGAAGCAAAGTGGTTTTTCTGGATAAAATCATCTAAACAGTTGAAACGGGATGCCTCATGACTCAGCAGTGTGACCTAAAATCATCTCTAGTAAGAAATACGTATACACTTTATTATCTTCTGAACATCAAACATCTTACTTCTGTGGAGCTTATCCCTTGTTCTTTTGTCTGTACTGTATTGTTCTCCACTAATATCGATAATGTATTTGTTTTCCTCATGTTGTACCAATGTGAATGGTGGCAACATACACCCACAAACATTCATGCTAAATCCCATATTGTTTTTTGACCGTCACCTACATCTTTGCCGCTCAACATAAATTTGTTTCAACAGTTCATCTTATCGTTGTTTCTTCATGTACCAGCAGCATACTATTCTCTATATTAATCATCATTTCAGTTGATATTAATGTATCATATACTGCTCATCGCAATACTTTTACTCAAAGTGCTGTGCTTGGTTGAAATGTAGTCGATGTTCTTGTACGCTATCCAAAATTAAGATTGATTATTTGAAATTTGAAACCATACTCCATTTAGCGAGAGTTGAGAAACTGAGCGGTATCATAAATTGGCACAAAATGTGTGACTTAGTTCACAAATCTGTCATCAGTCGCAAGAAACAGACAGCGATCGTTTCTCTGTTCTCAACTGGAAGATGAGGATGTCTAGTATGTATTTAGACAGATAGCAAGGCAAGGCAAGGATGTAAAAACAATTCTTTTTCTGAGAAAACCTGGCATAATATCCAGTCTACTGGAGAAACAACGGTACAGATAGTAATTAACCGAAATCCGTAGGTTAGCGAATGGCAGTGGATTACTGCAACCTCATCCGAACTGGTTGATGCAGGAAAAATCATACCTCACGACTCTAACCACAATAAAGAACGAAATCAGTCCAACAGTGAGTTGACTTGGAATCCTCGCTGTAACTGCCACTAGTTGTGGGTTGTAAAAGCGAAAGAGAGATGAGATATCAGGGTTAGATAATACCGAGCAATTTTTCAGGTTTTTCAGGGATGCTAATAAGGAGACGATGGTTACTGAAACCACCACCGAAAATGATGAGTCTGTGATAACCTTACAGGATTAGCAGCTAAAGCGTTGGGCGACATGGTTTGAAGAACTACACTCTTCTTGCCTGTCGTCCAGCCTAAACCAAAGTGGGACGTAGGTGTCCATCCTCCAACTCTTCTGTTTCAAACGTGAAATGGTGCAAATAAGCGGAATCCGATGGTTTGCCACCAGAAGTATTTAAAGGCGACGGTAGAAAACTGAGTGGACTAACGATGGTGTACTACCTAGTGTATAAGAATCAGTGAAAGCCCAGCCAGGCTACTCCAGATCGCTAATCATCCCAGTTTATAAGAAGACGGAGAAGTTTTGTGACAACAGTAGGTTAGTTTGACTAACATCGTGTCCATAGTTATCCGACACGTAACTGGTGCTCATGTAATCTAGATAGGTTTTGGACTCAGGCGGGGAAGCGTCGGTGAGATCTTTTCTGTTCGACATGTCCTGAAAAATAGGCATACCTTAACAGTATGCGACACCTGCCAGATTTCTTGACCTGTGGCGCTTAGCCCTATCGATCAAGAGATGTAGCATTGTCTGACTGTGAATGGAGTACTGAAACGAATTAGAGCTCTTTACTCGAAGTCACAGTCATTTAGGGGTATATGAGGAGTTATCATGTGCATCGACTACAACCAGTGGTGTATTTGGCGTGTTTTGCCTGTGATAATTCAGAACCGGTCGGCAACTACTCCCAGTGTAAGGGCAACGAGTGTAATCGTAGAATACGTCAACCATTTCACTTATTTGAGGACTTGCGACAGCTTCAACGATCTGTTTGTTGACGTAATCTCCGCTGGGATGTAAAAAAAACCGTTTAGCATTTGCTAGTCCAAGTCAGCAGTGGCGTCGAATGCTTATTTAAGAAGTAGTATAATGTGCTCCAGTCCGTTCTGTCTTATTATATGGCTGTCAGCTATGGTCGTCCCTCGTATAATATATGAAGAGTATAGATGTTTTTGACCACATCTTTCTTCTCAGCATTTCTGGCGTATGGTGATTGCATTACAGTGTGAGCAATGTTGAAGTCAGACTAAGAGACTAGCTAAACAAAGCAAGTCAATCGATCACATTAATCTTTACCGACTGAGGTGAATTGGACATGTGTTGCACCTGCCGAACTTTTCTCGATTTTCAGTATTAGATGAAGGATCATTGTGGTCAGATTGGATTGTTACACCAGTTATGAAATTTTTGACTATTGGTCTAAGCCGTTTAAGACTGCTTTTTCAGATTCTCTTGCTGTATGCATATAAGCTGTAGTGAATGTATAAAGTTTTTGAAATAATTGAATCTATTTAACATTGCTTTCTGACAAATTCAAAATATTTATCAATTATCTTTTACTTCTGATAAACAGTGCTTTTTATTTCACATTTCAGCCCCAAACGTGGGCAGTCGTCTCATGGAAAAGATGGGTTGGCAGGCTGGACAGGGTCTCGGTCGAAGCAATCAAGGCCGAACTCAGATAATTGAAGCTGAATTTAGAGAGGCTGGCGTCGGCTTAGGGATCAAAACGTCTAAACGTGGTCCTCAGTCAGACAATTATAAAGACAACGTCAAAAGGGCAATGTTTGCCCGGTTCCACGAGTTGGAATAACTGTATATTTATCGTCTTTGTACATATCTCTTTCTTTTATGCTTTCTATCTTTGATCTCTTAGCATTTCTGTATATTTATTATCCTTGTTCAATTCTGTAGATCCAATAATTGATTCCAAAATGTTCACATACTAGTCTAACTTCAAATCTTCAGCGAAATATAAGCCTTGTGTAAAACAGACTTTTTCCAGTATAGTTTGTCCAGTATTACATGGGTTCTGCATTTTTCTTCCATTTGGTTGCTTTTCTTATATTTTTTCCCTTGTACAGCGTTTCAAACTGCGTATGAACAAGCACAAGTTTGTGAACATAAAATATTATTGATTACCAAGCGTTATCGTGCTCAGTGTCAACATTTATCTAGATATGGATAACATACAAATCTTACTGTCACTGCGAAGTGAGGAAATTATTATAGAAATTAAAACGGTGATGGGTGAACTATGGCAGAGCGACATTCTAAATGAAAATAAAGCGTATGTGGTAATCATCAAGTCACCTTTAACCTTGGTTCTTTGAGAAAAATCTACGGATATGTAGATTGCAGTGGTCTACTAGGGTAATCATCTAAAAAAATCTCAGTACTCACTCGCTGGAATCCGTCCTATCAGTGTTTATGGTGGGTAGCTTGACAATTAACTATCTTGACCAGGGAGTGCGGCACTATCAAAAGCATCCTTTTGAGATTTCGGCGTTCTCCACTATTGCGAATAAATGTTTTAGACCCAACGAGCTATGGCAAATGCATTTTACTTCTCTTTTCTCTCATCAGATATGTGTTTATAAAGCATCGCCACATGGTGTTTTGCGTGTTGCTGTGTGGTATCAGCTCGTTTTTTGTAAACTCAAAAAGGGAATATCATAATAAGGGTTGTCAAAATAATGAACTAGGCATTTCTGTACGATAGAAAGGGGTAGAGTATGTTATATCCAGAGGAAGTTTGCTAGAGTCATAAAAAATCCATTTTTCGAAGGACTGCCGTAATTAGGGTGATAAATCATGTTACTTATGTTACATATTCTGCTAACGCATATGTCTTGTCATATCAACATCAATTTTAGAGAATTATCATGTCGGTGTCAATAACCTTATCCCTTTTCTGGTCCAAGATAAGTAGAAAAACGATAGTTTAGTGTATTGGGAAAGAACACCTCATTTACCCTCGGTTCCTTCAACAAGTGATAATATACTTTTTTCCTATCATAAATTGAAGGTTGACACACTGAAAATCCTTAACTCATCGTGTTAAGTAGGCGTAGGCAACCGAAAATAAGTCCTGGAACTATCTTATTATTGCTAGCACTCATCAACAAGGTATATCTGGAATCTCTGGATAATGTTTATAATCAGAACAGTGGGTGGTAAATTCGACTGCAAATATGATTTGCTGTTGACTATCTGAAAACACGGGGCCGGATCTGGAGCTTCATTTTAATCCTCTTAACCATCTACCGTCGACAAAAGTATACCACAATGGTGAGTTTCCTAGCTTGATGAATATATTAACAGTGATCGATAGAGTTCGTTTAACAGTTACGACTGGAATACACGAAGTTGGTTACTTTCTAATGATCAATCAACATACTTTCTAATACCACCTAAAGCAATAAGTCCTCACACTCAATGTTTTACATATTTGAAGCGAAGAATCACATAAACGATGAAAATATCTAGGTAGATAAGTGCTGTCCCTATTAGTTTTACACGACATAGTTGAATTCAGTTTTGTCTGACTATCTAGTCCTATACCTTTTTTCTTTATTTGATCCGGGCATACAGTGTCTTCTGATCATCATTTAGTTGCTGTTTTACTAACTGGTGTTCTGTAATGGTATTTATGCAATTTACGACCAAACTAAGTGAATGTTTCTCCTAAAGGTTGACTGTATACCAGTTTTCCTACCCGTCTCCAAATGCGGGTTTTTTGGAGTACTCTAGAACCGTGCGTATAGCTGCAAGCGAAGAAATTAATGTTAATTCGAAGGGTTCAGTAGGTCAGATGGTTTGTCGCAACCCTTATTATTTAGCATCCGTAAAGTTATTTAAGTAATCCTAATGACTTCACCTACATTCGATTTTTTTTTTACTGATGATCATTCCAAAATTACGAATTGTGATATCTCATAGCCTAAGTAAGGGATTATTTGTAGATAAGGCACTCTGAATTTGTTGGTCTGAGTAGCTCCGGTTTTTAAAGGCATTGAACCACGCAGACATAAAATCGGTATAGGACCAGGCCTCAAATAGATCATATTATAATCATCTATCGATGGCGTGGGTAGATATAGGACTCTTGCTCCATGTGGAGTACTCGTCTGGACTCTGATCATGTTTTAGTGTGTGCTAAGCTCCCTTTGCGTTTTGGTGGTAATCAAAATCGTTGTTTTTAAACAGGATGCAAGCAAATTGGTTGCAACTAACATTATAGATAAATAAAAATCCCAGCTGCCCGATCCTCCAGAAAATGTAGATGAGCAGTGGCTACGCTTGCAAGAAGCCATGAAAATGGTGAGTAAAGTCGCTTGAAGCTTGGAAGAAAGTTCTGTCAACAAACACTGGGTATCTGTGAGCTCTCTAAAACTTCTTGACACCCATCGGACCTTTCCGGTGGATAGCGAGTACAGTGCTTTGCGTAAGTCTTTTACACGAAATATTATACACTGCTTACCCAGGTACCATAAAGCTTGGTGGTCAGAACATGCGAGTAAGGTGGAAGCAGCAGCTACATCTAGTGATAATCGGAAGCTGTTCCAGCTCATTCGAGCCACTGGAAGCAAGAAGCCTGGTGTCAGTAAGGGTCTATGAGGTAACTGGTAGGCCGATAAACAGTCTTCAAGGACTGGGAAGCTGGGCGGGGCATTTCGTAAAGCAGTTTAGCTAGCCTACGGCTCCAGCATTGTCAGCTTGAGTGTATCCTGATACATAGTCAGTTAGAACTGACCCACCTAACGAAGCTCAGGTCCATAAAGAACTTCAAGTCCTGAAAAGCCAAAAAGCACCCGGCCCAGACAGCTTCAGGCTATTTCTAAGGATGGAGAAACGACTCTAGTCAAGGAACTGACTAGATTGTTTGAGAAGGTATGGTAGGCTGAAAGCGTTCCATCACTCCGGAACGGAGTCATGATTGTGCCCATCTTTGAAAAGGGTCTACCTAATGTATGTGACAATCATCGGGATATTACTCTGTTACCAGTCACGTCGAAAATATTGGCTACTATATTTTAATATAGGTGTGAAAATTAGGCACTGTGGCAGAAATTAATTCCATATTAGATTTGTTTATTTGATTTATAGCACAGTGACCTAGTATTATTTACTTGATGACGTTTCGAGCATAAATTATTGCTCATAATCATATCGATGCATTCATACTACTTTCGACATTTGATTTTTACTTCATAGACTTTGCAAAACGTGTAAGGAAATGATTTATAAGGAGCAGACTGGGTTTCGTTCGGGTCGTGGGTGCATTAATCATCTGTTTACCCACCGCCAGATGCTTGAATATCACCAGAAGTATTGCAGGCCAACAATCGTTGTGTTCCTTAACATTAGGCCTGCCTTCGGTTCTTTGAACACAGTTGTACTCTGGAATTGTCGGCTAGAGAGGGCCGTGCCTGAGAAATTTATTAACATCTTGAAAGCCCTATACAATAACACCTCAGGGAGAGTGTGGTCATACAACCACCTGTCTCCATTGTTCCAACCCAGTAGTAGGGTTAGGCTGGGTTTCACGATTTTTTCACTCGTCTCTAACTTTGCCATCGATGACATTCTTGAGACAGCTGTGAAGGAGGTGCTTGATGGTGGTGTAAATCTACTACCCGGAGAACGGATATCAGACTTAGAATATGTGGACGACATCGTCTTACTGTGCGATAACATATAGGTTATTCAAATCGCACCTAATCAGTTGGCGACTAGTGTCCGTAAGCATGGTATGTACTTTGCACCATCGAAGTGAAAAGTGCTTTTTCAAGATTGACAGTAGCCTGTCTGCGATCACCCTTTTAAGTCGTCAAAATATTTGTGCATCTGGGTGGTTGTATGCGTGGTGAAATTTTTAACAGCATATCGAAAGCCAGAGTGGCGTACGCCAATCTGGGGCACCTTTGAAACCTCCAGGACGTTAGTCTGACCGTAAATGGTCGGGTTTACATCGCTTCGGTCCCAGCAGTTCTACCCTATGCCTGTGAAAACTGGTCTCTCTGAGCTGAGGATGCGAGACGACTCCGTGTTCGATCATCGTTGTCTTCGTAGGATTGTTCTTATCTAATGGCAACACCAAATGAGTAATTCTGAAGCACAACAGCGTGTGTTTGGGCATGATGGAGATCATAATTCAGTAAGTCGAGTAGTCCTGAAACACTAGCTTTGATGGCTTAGACATGTGTTACGCGTGTCGCCTTAAGGTTCATTGTTTGCTATCCGGAAGACTGGATGGAAGAAGCGGAGGGGCGTTCAGTGGGTGACATAGTGCCGTGGTTCATCACGACTCCTTGGATGCGTTCGAGAGGTCACCCAGCTCAGTGGCTTGAGACGCTATCCGATATGGCTCTGAATCGAAACCAGTGACACTCATGCTGTAGCTTCCTTATAACTTCTGTTGTTAAAAAGTAATGAATGTTTTGTTTCGATTGTATCTTACTGGACTGCGTTTCTAACTGTTCTGTTCTTAATAAGTTTCTCTTTTATCCACTTCCTTTCGCGTAGTGTCTTCAAAATAGCGTTATGTTATTCTGTGTTGTATTTTTGGTGATTTTGCTGTACCATTTTTGCGTTCTAATAATAAATAATAAGACTAAAGTATACCATATGCGCTCACATCAGCACAGAGGAATAATTTTGAGCGTGGTTAGATTGATTTTAAACTGGATACAATCATCTACCTCTTCCAAAGTGCTTAAAGACACTTTGGATACGTGCTTAGAGTTCATTCTCCTCATAACCTTCGAATTCGAAGTTATAACAACTACGTGCACAAAATAGTAGCTTATT